GGTGTGTCACCTGCCAGAAGGCTGCGTTCTTGGGCCCTGGGTAAGGCGGGTTTGCCTCGCCCCCCCCTCCCCCAAGAACAGGATTGAGAGCAGCTGCCGTTGCAGTGCTTCTCCACGCTGTGGAGTCCCATAGCGAGCAGGGAGCTCCTCTCGGAGGCACCGGGTCCTTGGATGGCAGAGTCCTCTGAGCCCAGGGAGGACGGCCCCTCTCCTTGTGAATTGTCCACCGCCAGCCACGTGCGTGCCACGCAGCCTTAGTTGGGCCCAGGGTGGTCTTCCCCAGAGTCAACAAAGCACGCGACCCCCTCGTGTCTGTGGGGCAAGGGGCATGATTGGAGCACGAGGAATTCACAGGCTGGGTTGGTTGGTTTTTTCAGATCCGCATCCGGGATCCAAACCAAGGAGGCAAAGACATAACGGAAGAAATCATGTCGGGCGGAGGGAGCAGGAACCCCACCCCTCCCACTGTCAGGCCCGCTTCGACCCCTACGCCCCCCCAGGTAACCGTGTGAATGCTTGTGAAACTTGCCCCTGCTTCCCCCCGGGGGGGGGGAGAGAGGTTCCTCCAGGGTCCCTTTGCCCGCCTTCGTTCTTGTTGCTGCCCATGAACGTCTGCCTGCTTTTGACTTCAGGACTAAGGGCCGAAAAGGGCCGGGAGGGCTGTGGTGGCCGGGCTGCGCCTGGTCCTCCCCAGCCACTTTCCGGTCCACTTCTTGTGTCAGTGGTTGTAGAATAGGACACCACGTCAGCCTGGCGAACCTTGGGAATCGTCAGTGGGGAGGGGACTCCCCCAGAGTTTAGCCTTCCAGAGAACATGTGGGGTCCCTTGCATCAGCAGCAGGTTGGAAGGAGAGGCCCTTCCCATGGGCCGCCAATGGTGGGGGGCCTTCCTCTCCTGCCTGAGGGTGTGTGTGTGTGTGTGGCGGGGCTGTCTCTTGTGGCCGCTCTTGACAGTAATGGTCCTCCTCCTGCTGCTGCCTCTTTCCTGTGGCTTTCTTCCCCCCCCTTCCCTTCCCTCCCCATGTGCTTTTTTGTTTTCTTTCTTTCTCTCGCTCTCACTCCTGCGCTCGCTCTTCCTCTCTCTTTCCCACCGGCCTCGGCGGCGGCTGCTCCCACTTGCCCGCTCATCTTCCATGTTGCTAGTTTTTATGTTCGCGTGCTCATTATCCCCCTTTTTTATACTTGAAATCCCTGCAGCTGCCCAGCCAGGTTCCTGAGCCCAGCCCTGTGGTCTATGGGACTGTCGAGAGCTCCCCTCTTGCGGCCGCCCCTGCCAGCGCTGTGACGAGTGACCCCAAGCAAGGTGGGTGGACGGGCTGCTGGTCCCTGGGAGGGGGGGGCTTGGGGGATGTGGGGGGGCACTCCCAGAGGAGCCCCTCGGAGCAGAGGAGAGGCTGAGCAGCAGCCTCTGGGCGCCCAGACCTTGAGCCAAAGCCGCTTCTCTCACCCCCCCCGAATGGGGCCAAGCCCATTTTGCTGGGAGCAGGGGTTTTTGCGTTCTTGAGGGACTCAGGACCCAAATAAAGCTGTCTGCCAGCTTAGTATTCCGTTTTAAAAATGTCTGTATATTACCTCGCTTGATCAGCTGACAAGAATATACAGAAAGAAATACATATCCATTAAAGTCCCAGGTTTTGCAGGTGTCCTTTTCAGAGCAGTAGCCACATTCGCCTGTGGAAGCAGATCTACAAGAGTCATAAAACAAAATACGAGCCCTGCACAAATGTTTTGCCAGGTAGCCTCTGTCTTCTCACTCGGACGTGAGAAGAGGTGGACTTGTCCACAAAAGCTCGCCTTAACAAGGCTGCAGGTAGTCTTTAAGGAGCCCCCAAGTCTTGGCCTCCTTTAAAAAAAAAGAAAAGAAATGCCTTTGTCTTGTTTTGTGTTTCTTGTGGATAAATGTTGCAGGGAAAGCAAAGTCGCGCTTGGAGGAGGGGAGGTCGGTCTGGCAGGGAAGGACTACCCCCTCCCAGCGGGGATGCCGGCCAGGTCTCCCCCAGGGAGGGCATTCCACAGACAGGGAGCTTTTGGGGGTCCTGCACACTGCCTCCCCGTCCCCGGGGTGCCCCCACTGCTGTTGGCGGCGCTTTCGGGAGTCCTAGCCAGGAGAGCCGCCTGAAGGAGGCACCGTGTGCAGATGGCCTTTGGCCGAGAAGAGGGCGCCTTTCTGGCCTGGGGGAGAGGGGGAGGCCCTCGAGGCGAGGGGCCTGTCTCCTCCGCAGGCCCCGCTCTTGGACAGGGCTTGAGTCCAACGGGGTGTCCCTTTCCTCAGAACTTGCTCTGTAGCGCGCCGAGCTGGAAGCAAGGGACCCTGCGGGAAGTGTGCTCCCCGGGTTGGCCTGTGGCTCGGCAGCCCCACGCCCACCCCCTCCCTTGCCTGGCAGGAGAAGCAGGGCCCAGCCCGTGGCGGTTGGCTGCCTCTTGTCACGGCACGCTCCGGGAGAGGGAGGCCTTGGGGGGCGCTAGGGAGAACGTCTCCTGGCTGTGGGAGAGCAGAAGCCACCCCCGGGGGTCGCCGGGCTCTGTGACCTCTGGGCCCAAATGTCTCTGGAAGGAGCGGAGAGGGAGAGGCGGTCGACTCCAGCCAGGTTCAAACCTTCATGTGCTGCCAGAGTCCCTCCCTGTTGCTGCTCAGGCCCCTTCGTGTCTCTGAATGTCTCTCGTTTCACAGTTCAGTCCTTGGTGTTCACTGGTGTTTCTATGTTTTAAAACTACATTTTGTAAATGTTGAAGAGTGTTAGCAAAAACGCCTGTTGCTTCTCTTAAGACTAAGAGAGAGACTAGATGAGGGGGCGCCAGGAGGGCCATCTGGGGGTTCTCTTTCCCAAAGAGGTATGGGGCCTTCTCGCGGGTCCTTCTCTGAACAGCCTCGGGGCAGGCAGGGACCAGAGCGGTCCCCGGTGAGGACCATTCGGTCCAGAGGTCCTCCACAAGAGGAAGAGTGCGATCTGTGTGAAGAGGTCTCGACTAGTCATCGTCTCTTTAGAGGGAGACCCACCCTGGCACTTGAGGCAGCTTAGAATAAAATGCCAAGGGCAAGCGGAGAGGCTAAGAGGTTCCCCCAGGAGTTGAAGACGTGGGCAAGAGTCTCTGCTTGGGACGCTCTCTGCAAATCCCTCGACCACGGTAGCCCTCTAGATGCAGGATGTTTCCCGTCGCTAGGAGGGAGCTGATTCAAACTTTGTGAGGGGTCAAGGGTCCTCTTGTTCTGTTTTAACGGGTGCCTTTCTCTTTTCCCCAGAAGAGAAGCCTAAAGCAGATCCAGTATTAAAATCTCCTTCCCCTGCCCTCAGACCAGAGCCTAGTGGAGAGAGAAGGGATCAAGCGGGCCCCAGGACGGCCGAGAGCCCTGCGCCCACGGACGCCTCCTCGCCCGAGCTTTCCCTTCCTGCTTTGGCCTCCTCGGCCGTTGTGGCTGCTTCCGCTCCCAGTCACTCGACGCCGGTGACGGACATGGAAGATGGACGTGGATTCTCTTCCCCGAAGCAGGAGACTGTTCCTCCTCTTCCCGGCGCGGCTCCCTGCATGGAAAGCTCCGCCTGTCCCCTCGCAGAGGAGGGGGACGCCGGCGTGGACGGGGAGCCCCCTAAAATGGTCCCTAGCGACCTGCAGGAGGCGGCTAGGACGAACTTGACGAGTGAGCTTGATGGAGTCGGCGAAAGGGCGATGGAGAGCGAGACTGTGAGTGTCACGGAGCTGGATCCGCAGGAGGCGGCCGATGGAGTGGCCGTGGAGCAGGAGGGCGCAGAAGCCTCTCTCGACGAAGCAGAAGGAGCCCCCTTGCCCCCCTCTGCTGCCCTTGCTGTTCCGCCATCGCCTCTGGCGCCTGCCAGTCCTCCCCTGGCGGTGGCGACGGCTGCAGGGACGGCCGCCACTGCCATCACTGCCGTGACCTCTTCCGCTGTTTCCCCTGCTACGAGGGCTCCTCCTCCTCCTCCTTCTCCTCCTCCTCCTCCTGCTGCTGCTGCTGCTGCTGCTGCTCCTGCAGCCCCTCTCCCCCAGCTTGCTGCCCCTCTCCCTGCCCTTCAGGGGGATCCGGAAGGAGAGGCGGCCACCCGAACGACGCTTAGCGAAGGCCCCCAAGAAACTCTAGCGAAAGAGGAGGCGGAGGTGGACGGCCGGACGGATGGGAACGAAGCGTCTCCGGGTGTGAGCCTGAGGAGGGGCCCTGGAGCAGGTAAGCAGGTCGGGGCCTTTGTCCTAAGCATGCGCGTGCGTTTGGCCTTGAAACAAGGCACAGGGCACGGGAAGGCAGGCGCCCGTCCCTTTGGGGATTGGCAGAGAGCGCTGACATTTGCAGTGCCCGGAGTGGGGCTTCCTTGGAACGAAAGCAGAAGGTGGGGGTCTTAAATAATGCCTGGTGCTGTTCTCAAGTTCTTCCCTGATCTTATTTTAATGGCCAGTGGTGTTTTTAAACAAACAAACTAGACATAATGATGGTTTGTTAAAAACCACCACCAACTGGGCACATGGAGATTATTTGCTGGGAGCCTGCTGGTTTTCTTGCATTTCTGGGGAGCATCTCTGTCATTTGGAGAGGCTGTTGCCCGTCAGAAGGAGGGCCTCTTTCCTTGGAGCTTCTTTTCTCTGTCCTGTCACGTTTTCTCACCCCCCCCCCAGTTTGCTATCTCTGCTTGCACAGTTTTGCTTCACAAGATTGGCCATTTCTGGAGTTGTTGGGTTTGCTCAAGGAAGTCAAAACCAGGGCAGGGCTAGGATTTGGGCCATATTGTGCCGTCTCCCCACCGGTCGGATTCTGACTCTTGCCAATACTTGGTGGGAGTTGGAATCGGCCGCCAGCCTCCTTTGGGAGCTTGTGTCTCTGCTCCTTGTGGGGTCTCTTGAGATGCGGGCAGAGCATTGAGCCAGGGCTGTTGATTCCATCAGAGGAAGGAAAGAGCCCGTCTTTTGAGGGGGGAAGAGCATACTGCCTCCCACGCCAGTGCATGCCTCGTTCAGAGGAGGCTTTCCATGTATGGCACTGTGGGCGGTGGGCCTATGGGATGGCAGGCCTCCCCCGCTTTTGGTCTGCTGCCCTTTGTGCGCTTGAACAGGGCCCTGGCCGGACAAGGTCTGCAAATCCCCAGCGGGGGCTCCCCTTTCTTTCCTTTTGAAGCTGTCCACTTGGTGCCCCCCTCCATCCAGGAAGGGCCTTTTGTGCCAGCTGGCTGGCTGGCGGAGTG